AGTTCATCAGGCACTCTGTCTATCAGATCTAGTCCCTTAAATCTATTTCTCACTTCCACTGTATATTCATAAGGGATTTGATTTAGGTCATACCTGAATGGTCTAGTGGTTATCCCTAATCTCTCAGAATCATGTCATCTGTGAATAGAGGCAGTTTTACTTTTTCTTTTCCAAATGTAATGCTTTTTCTTTCTTCTTTTTGACCCTGGCCAAAACTTCTAGTACAGTGTTGAATGGTAGTGGTTAAAGCAGGTATTGTTGTTTTGTTCCTGATATTGCAGGGAAAGCTTTCAATCTTTCATTATCAAGTATAATTTTAACAGTGGCTTTTTCAAGAATACCATTTATCACACTGAGAAAAATGCTCTCTATTTCTAGTTTTCTGAATGTTTTATTACTCTTATTGTTACTATAAAAGTGTGTTGGGTTTTATCAAATGCATTTTCTTTGTCAATTGAGATTATCATGTCTTTTTTCTCTTTATTTTATTGATGTGTTCTGTTACTTGATTTTCTTATATTGAACCACTCTTGCATTCCCGGGATAAATCCATGATTATATATAATCCTTTAAAAAATTGAAATGATGTTGGAATGGTTTTATAATATTTTGTTGAAGATTTTTCTATCTGTAAATGTAAGGGATATTGATCTGTTATTCCCTCATAATATCCCTTCTCAGTGTCCTTTCTGGTAAAAGTGGGACAATGAGCATTAAGGTATAATGCCAGAAAGGACAGCAGAGTAAACAGAAGCTGGTATCATGCAGACCCCAGCTGGATGAAATAGTTCCACCAGGTTCAATGTGGGGAAGCAGCATTTCTGATGAAGGAACTAGATGTGCCAAAAACCCGAGTTGAAAAGAGAATCTATTGAAGAAATCAAGTGAAGTCAATGTGACTGAAAATGACAACAAAAGCTCTCAAGTACTCATCACTTTGGGTTTCCCAGGTGGCACTAATGATAAAGAATGCTCCTGCCAATGCAGGTAGATGTAAGAGACACAGGTTCAACCCCTGGGTGGGGAAGAGTCCCTGGAGGAGAGCATGCAACCCACACCAATATTCTTGTCTGGAGAATCCTACGGACAGAGGAGTCTGACAAGCTATGGGTCCATAGGGTCTTGAGTCAGACATGACTGAAGTGATTTAGCATGCATTTATTATTATGTCCCAGGTCTAGTGCTAAGCACTTTTTAGCCATCTCTTCTGACGTAGGTGATTTTGTCTCATTCACTGGAGAGTCCGGTTCTCAACTGTGTTGGAGCATTAAAACCTCTTGCAGGGCTTAGGCACAGGTACGTGGGCCTCACTCAAGAGTATGTGATTCAGTATGTCTAAAGTGGGACCTGATGACGCGTAACAAATTCCAGGTAATGCTGATGTGGTCTGTGAATTGGAAACCACGGATTAGGGGAATCTTAACTTTTCATCATAAATCCTGGCCCAGAGAGGTGAAATGCTGAGCAGGAGTACATTGCGTAGGTTAAGAAATAGGGCATGTGTTAGAGTCCTTTAAGGGCGGGGCATTGCCTGAAGGGCTAAGGAAATCAGTGTGCCTTGCCTTCAAGAGGAAGCGAGGCTGTGCCCTCCTTTGGAACCTTGTTCAGTGACTCAGTCATATCTGGCTCTTTGTGACCCCATGGATTGCAGCATGCCAGGCTTCCCTGTCCTTCAACATCTCCCAGAGTTTGCACAAACTCATGTCCATTGAGTTGGTGATGCCATCCCACCATTTTGTTCTCTGTCATCCCCTTCTCCTGCTGCCTTCAATTTTTCCCAGCAACAGGGTCTTTTCCAATGAGTTGGCTCTTCCCCTCAGGTGGCCAAAGTACTGAAGCTTCAGCTTCAGCATCTGTCCTTCCAATGAATATTCAGGGTTGATCTGATCTCCTTGCAGTCCAAAGGACTCTCAAGAGTCTTCCCCAACACCACAGTTAGAAAGCATCAATTCTTTGGTGCTTGGCCTTCTTTACGGTCCAACTCTCACATCCCATACATGACTACTGGAAAAACCACAGCTTTGACTATAGGGACCTTTGTTGGTAAAATGATATCTCTACTTTTTATATACGCTGTCTGGGTTTGTCTTAGCTTTTCTTTCAAGGAGCAAGTGTCTTTTAATTTCATGGCTGCAGTCACCAGCCGCAGTGATTTTGGAACCCGAGAAAATAAAGTCTGTCACTGTTTCCATTGTTCTCCCATCTATTTGCCATGAAGTGATGGGACCAGACACCACGGAACCTTAAGACACTGTGTCCATAGAAAACCGGAAATGAACTCCTTGGTTCACCAGGATGAAGTCAGAAACTACATTACCCAGAAGGCAGTGTCTCCAATGACGGCCTTGGGCGCTGAGCCAATGACGTAAAGCGGAGGCCGTCACTGGCGTCAGGTTGGGCGGGACTTCTTGGTCGAGTATTAGGATGTCGTTTACAAGTGGTCTGTCAAGCCTTACGGGCTTTCCCCACTGGAGCACTGAGCATTGACCACTCCACAGAAAAAGGTCTTCTGTACCGAGCAAAGAGCCGTGAGAAGACTAGAACCCACCGCCACACTTTTGTGTGAGCCGTGACCCGGCTTGGAACGGGTTGTCAGCCGAGCGTTCGAGCTCCCAGCCCTCCGTCCTCACAGCTCCCAGAGGCGGCTCCCGGAGCCTGATGCGCATTCCACACCGCAGACACTCAGGTCCCAGGTACTTCTGTGCAGGGCTGGCCTCGGGTCGGCTGAACCCTCTCTACCGACTTTTGTCACCGCCTCCCGCCGTCCCACTCTGCCTACGGGCCCCATGGCGGCGCCGGCGCTGGTGAGTGGAGGGTGCCCAAGTGCGCTGGGGTCGCGGTCCGCATAGTGCCACTCTGTGATATAGGGAATCCCGGGCCTCTCCACCTTTCCGTCTTAATACGCTCGGATCTGGGGGTTCGGTGACAATGGGGTGTGGGAACTACAGTGCTTATCAGTTCCTACCCAGGGTTCTGAATCCAAGCCAAAGTATTGTAAAGAGAGGCACCCATAATGGGCTCTAAGCTTGTGGATTCACGGCCCTTGGCCTCTATTCCCTCGGGTCTAAAATTGGAGTATTAACAACTTTTCTCTGTCTGTCGGAGGAAGTGGAGAGCATATGCTCGTGACGTGTGTCCTTGAGTGCTCAGCACAACCCAGAGAGCATCACTGTAGATGTGGTTTCCGGAGAAGGACTCTCCTGGTCCTGCTATTATCTTAGGCTCACCCCAGGTGGAGTCTGACCCTCAGACATCCCTGCCTCCGGCCTCAGCGCTGCTGAAAACTGGGAGACAGATGAGACAGCCTGGAGAGCAGAAGTGGGGTGGGAGCAGTGTTTCTGAAATTGGCTGCTCGTCTAGTAGGAGTAGAAGTTCCCGGGACAGAGCAGAAGACAAGCCTGTCACTGGATTTCTCTTTGTAGGTGCCATCTGGGTACAAGGCCATTGGCTTGCCACTGACAGTATCCATTTCCCCTACACATTTACTTATATTTGAAAAGTGAATCCATTACAGTTTTCATTAATGACAGTGCATAGGAATGTTATGTCTCAAGGGATGTAAACATATGGACAGGTCCTAAGTTATTCTTCAGCACACCATTTTGCTGTCAACATAGCTCTGATCACCTTCAGAACTTTGCTTGTTTATCCAGTTTTCCTGGCTTGCTTCCTAACTTCATTCCAGCCTTGTTCCACATCTGCTCAGAGAGGTCTTCCTGATTGCCTCATCTAGTTTTGTAATTTCTGTAGTCATCTTATTTTTCTTCATTTCAGAGCCCCTAAGGCCATATGACTTTATCTTGCTTATTTATTTAGCTCCTTGTCAGGGATGTGGGAGCTCCTGTCCCCAAACTTAGAAGAATGCAGGACCTGTACCAAGTGTTCAATAAGTGGCTGATGAATGAACGATTCTACCCTCTGGAGCTCCTATTATACCTAGATCAAATCTAAATCCCCTACCATGGCTGGTCCAGAGGGACCTGGATTCAAATCTTGTCCCTTCTCATTAGACATGTTACTCTGGGCTGCTTGACTTTGAGCCCCCATTTGCTGATTGTGAAATGGAGACAGTGATAGTGTTTACCTCACGGGCTGCAAGAGGATTAATGAAATTCACAAATACACATTGAGCACTGACAAGTGCTGGACTTTGCATTTGTTTGCTTTATGAACGTTTTTAGTTTAATCTCTGCAACAACCTGGTGAAGTTGGAATTATTGTTGTATTGATGTGGAAATTGAGGCTCAAAGAAATTAGCATGTTTTGGTTCAAAAGGTTGGATTTAAATCCCAAGAAGTCTAGATGCAGATCTAGACTCTTTTAGTTGCTTTAACACAGCATCTAAAACCCTGAGGTGTAGGCATAGAGGGCATACCAGTGAGGTTCAGCTGCCACTGCTCTTATCCTGTAGGAAGACCAAACGGAATGTAGGAAGAGCAAATAACGCCATGATAGGAGGCAAAAGCAGGAAGACCAGGCCGTCACCCTGGCAACTAAGGCGACTATCAGGTCACCAAGACACAACCAGTCAGAGACTATCAGGCCACCCAGATACAGCCAATCAGAACTTGTTTAACTGGATTCAAATCTTGTCCCTTCTCATTAGACATGTTACTCTGGGCTGCTTGACTTTGAGCCCCCATTTGCTGATTGTGAAATGGAGACAGTGATGGTGTTTACCTCACGGGCTGCAAGAGGATTAATGAAATTCACAAATACACATTGAGCACTGACAAGTGCTGGGCATTGCATTTGTTTGCTTTATGAACGTTTTTAGTTTAATCTCTGCAACAACCTGGTGAAGTTGGAATTATTGTTGTATTGATGTGGAAATTGAGACTCAAAGAAATTAGCATGTTTTGGTTCAAAAGGTTGGATTTAAATCCCAGGAAGTCTAGATGCAGATCTAGAATCTTTTAGTTGCTTTAACACAGCATCTAAAACCCTGAGGTGTAGGCATAGAGGGCATACCAGTGAGGTTCAGCTGCCACTGCTCTTATCCTTGCTTGAATTACAGTAATAGACTCATAGTCCACACAAGATTACCTTTGTTTTGCATGGCTCTCTAGTGAATTCCCGTATAGGTGGTTTTTCTCTCCCATACTATTTGTATTCCGTCTACAGCACCATCTACCTCCCTCTTAAACCCAGCACAGAGCTGGGTTCTCAGGAGATACTCAGGGATTCAGGCCTTGGGTCTCTGAATTTCTGTCACTAACCATGCAGTAGGCTCTAATTTAATAGCCATACAGTCACCCCACCACCTCTATTTGACTTTGCAGGCGTTGATATCATTTGAAGATGTGGCCATAACCTTCACTGGGGAGGAATGGAGACATCTAGACCTGGCTCAGAGGACCTTGTACCAGGAGGTGATGCTGGAGACTTGTGGCCTCCTGGTCTCACTGGGTAAGGCCTCACCTCACATGTGGTACCCAGAGCCTCTTTCATTCTACCCTATCTCTGAGCATGATCGGTTAAGAAGACCTGAGGAGCCTGCCTTCACTTCTCCCTCCAGCCTCAGCCTGTTCTGGTCTGACCGCCTCATGATTATTTTTATTTTATCATTTTTGTAGTAACCCTTTCACTTAGCCCAAGCGAACTAATATCTTTAAACTGCATAGAGTAGAACTGGGAACTTAGAAAGTGCCATATAGGTATTTTTTATGTATAATAAATTATACATAATAATGTACAAAATTACACAAATTATGTACAAATATAATCACATACAAATTGCACAATAAAATTATACAAAATAATAAATCCAAAATGTTCTTCCACCTAAAGCTTAGTTGGCCACTTTACCCAGAAATGGTTACCTCTAACTGGGCTTTCCCTGTCTCGTGTCCACATAGTCTCTCCCAGGAGATCAGGCTTCAGTGAAGTAACTACAGTGTTTTGTGACAATTGTGAATAGTTATTGAAAGGAGGCATCTGGAGAATAGTATTCCAAGTGGAGGGACAAACACAAGCCAATTCCCTGAGTGGGCAGGGAGCTCAGGTCCAGCAGAGACATAGGAAGGTCTGGTTCACCTTTTCCCCTTGCCTCCTCACTGAACTCAGTGCCAGATATAGAGCAGACCTCAGTGAACATTTGCTAAGTGACAGCTGGGTGCACTCTGGCTTGCAGTACAGGATTTTCTAATCAGAGTTTCTGTGGTCCTGCTGCCTAAGTCATTGACTTCTCTTTAGAATCCTCCTATCTTTAAACCTTCACATTTGGCAAAATATATTTGGCTGCATGTGCCAAAAAACCACATCATACAAGTTTCACCCTGAAAAAAGTTTATTACTTCACCTAATGAGAAGCCCTGTGGTGGTGCTGGTTCCTGGGTTGGTTCCTCCCAACCCAGTTCTCTCTGTCTGCTTTCTCTCTTTGGTCCAGGTCATCAGGCCAGCATCCCTGAAGTGGCAACAGGATGTTGTAGCAACAAATAGGGTAGCAAGTCCCCACATTCAGCCCCATCTTCCCAACCTGGACTTTTCTTCAGAATGGGTAGCAGTTTTACGTCATGGCCTTCCTCAGACAACTGACTATCAGTTGATTTAGTCTAGTGTTTTCAGCCATCCTTGGGCACCAGAGTCACCTGGTGAAGTTTGAAAACAACCAGTACTGTCTTTATGCCCAGAGATTTGGTTTAATTTGTTCTGTGTTTAGAACCAGGTGTGTCTAAGATGTTCTGAAGCATGGGAAGGTTGAATCTTGCTGATTTAATTAGGGAAAGACTTCTGGAAGGAGGTGTGCCCTTTGGGGTTTCATGGTGGTATGTTCAAGGTGTTCACTCCTGTATATATGAGACTTTCCCTTTTGTCTTTACCTATATATCCATTCCCCGTTTATTTCTCCATGTACAGGGCATCCTGTTCCCAAGGCAGAGCTGATTCATCTACTGGAGTATGGGCCAGGACTGTGGACGGTAAAGAGAGGCCTCTCCAGAAACACCTGTACAGGTGAGTGGCATGGCAGCTGGCAGACTGCTGGGGAGTGACCGGTAGTCTGCCAGTCAGCCCCATTGAGTGGGCAGTGTCCCTTTCCATGGGAAGTTTCTTTCTGTGGCTTTCTGGGGGGTCTTGGGTGATCATGGAGTCCTTTTAACTATGTTTTTGCTGTCTTCCCAATCCCATCACACTCTTTGCTTTTACTGGGGTTGAAATGTGCTATCCTGAGTAAGAGACAGACTCTATACTTGGCCATTCAGAACCATCAGGACCCTGAGGAAGTTGCATGATCTCCCTGTGCCTTTGACATACAAGTTAGGCTAAGTGGATGCTGCCTGCTGTAAGAGATAAATTCCAAAATCTTGGTGGCTCAGCAAGACTTGTTTTTCTCATTTGTGCCATGGTATAACGTGGGCAGGATTCCCAAGTGGCACAGTAGTAAAGAATCTGCATGCCAGTGCAGAAGACACGTGAGATGTGGGTTTGATCCCTGAGTTGGGAAGATCCCCTGGAGTGAGAAATGACAACCTGTTCCAGTATTCTTGCCTGGAAAATTCCATGGACAGAAGAGCCTGGCGGACTATAGTTCATAGGGTTGCAAAGAGTCAGACACGATTGAGCAATTTGAGCACATACACACATAATGTGGGTCTGCAGGCAAATTCTGTACCACATATCTAATAGGGACCAGGTGTATTCTATTGTCAGTATGTGGCTATAAGATTGCCCTGACATCATCCAACTGGTCAAAAGGAATAGGAGAGAAGGGGAGTAGTCATACCCATTTGCTCACATAGTCACTTCCTTTCACCTTCCATTGCCTGACCCAAAGTAAGTGACTTAACAATATTCACATATTATTACTCATAATGAATAGTGACTAATGGTATCTCAGACTACCTTCTGGATTCAGAAAAGAGTCATTTATTTTTCTGCAGATTACTACCTCCAACTCTACTTTGCATCTCTTTTCCACCTCTATCCAATCGTTTATCTGTACTGTACATCCCTGCAGGCATCCATGCTTCCATTTGTAAATGAGATAGATATTCAGAAGCAGTCCCTAGCCTTGTCATCCTCTTGCCCTCCTGTCTTGTAAAACCTCGAGAGGATGTTTGCCTTTGTCAGCCCCACATCAAATATGTGGCTAACAATGAGGTACCATTACATGCCAGTCAGAATGGCCGCTATCCAAAAGTCTACAAGCAATAAATGCTGGAGAGGGTGTGGAGAAAAGCGAACCCTCTTACACTGTTGGTGAGAATGCAAACTAATACAGCCACTATGGAGAACAGTGTGGAGACACATGTAAATCCATGGCTGATTCATGTCAATGTATGGCAAAAACCACTACAATATTGTAATTAGCCTCCAACTAATAAAAATAAATGAAAAAAAGGAAAAAAAGACAAATGTGTGGCTAGCAGCAATGTAAATTTGTGATCATTCCCCTCTTGGGTTCCCTCAGGTTGCTCAGCCAGCCGGAGAGTATCTCTTGCCAGCCCCTCCTCAGTCCCAGTGAGTCTGTCTCAAATCTTCATCCCTTTCTGCAGTTCTGCATCTTCACTTGGAGGTTTCAAAAGCACTTCATACCCATCATGCCTAAGAAGGATCTCAAGATCTTGCCCACTCCTCTCATCTCCCCATTTCAGTCAATGGTCTTGCTGTTCAAGAAGTTTAGAAAATCAAAAACAAACTTGAACAACACCTCCATATTCATCATGCCCATGATGCAGCCATTCCTGAATCTTGATCATATTTCATCATACATTTCTCCTGAATCTTTCACCTCCACCAGTTCCATGAGTTCCATCATTATCACCCTAGCTCAGGCTGTAGCTCAGGCTGTAATCATCTTTTGCCTGCATGATGCTAACATAGTCCCCCCAGGATCAGCTCTATGTCTCACATCCACTCCGCTATCCACTTTTCCTTATTCCAAACATCACCATCTCCCCAGTCACTGAGATCTCAACATATCACCCAGTTCATTCAGAAAATAAAGGCTGTTCCCTTCTTTTTCTTGCTTTCTAACCCTTACTGACTTATCCCTGCAGCTTCCTTCTCACCTCTACAGAAGAGTTCTCATCCCTGGCCATGGCTGATCCCCCTAGCAGAGTCTAGGTCATACCTTCACCTACCTTCTCAGGTGTCTTAAGTATCTATTGCCAGATCGCAATGAGTGAGTAAAAATCACTCATTTAATATTAAAATATCACTCATTTATTATCTCATCTGTGGATCAGAAATCTAGGCACAGTTTAGCTTGATCCCCTGCAAAGCTGTAGTTATAGGCAGTTTATAACACAGCAGCTTACTTCTTCAGATCAAGTAATGGTGTAAGAGATTCCAGCAAGAGAGGTTCCACATGTATACTTTATCTGTTACGTCTTACATTCTACCGCCTGTTATCTTCTATTCTTTAGAAGTAAATTTTGCTAAGATTCAGCATGTGTGCATGCTAAATCACTTCAGTCATGTCCATCTCTTTGTGACCCCATGGATTATAGCCCACCAGGCCCCTCTGTCCATGGGATTTTCCAGGCAAGAATATTGGAGCAGGTTGCCATTTCCTTCTCCAGGGGATCTTCCTGACTCAGGATTGAATCCATGTTTCTTATATCTCCTTCATTGGTAGGTGGATTCATTACCACTAGTGCCACCTGGAAGCCCAGGATTCAGGCAGAGGGTATCAAAACTGTGGGAACACTATGAGGAAGGGATTATGGGAAAACATACAGGAGTCTGTCCACTGCCTCAGAGAACATGCTTCTTCATTTATTTCCTCCCTCTTTGATATCTCCATCTTCTCTCTGTTCAATATAAAAAACATGATGAAGTTTCTTGCAATTGTGGGAAACATTAAAAGAAAATGCTCTTGGCTCTCCAACAACATCCAGAAGTTGTTGACTCTATTTCAGCTGAACAACCAGGCTTTTTAGAGGACTCTTCTCATTCTCAGAAGAGACATCTACACAGACTTCCCCTTTACTAGTCAATATTTCCTTGAATTTTTGTACTGAAGTGTAATTTATACATAGTGAATGTATAAATCTTAAAGGTCCATCATTATGAAATTTTACATATAAATAAACCAGTGTATCCACTGCAAGTGTCAAGAAATGCAGTATTTCCAGCACCTCTTAGGCTTCTTGTGCTTCCCTCCTTGTTAATATCCCCTTCTACAAAATTAACCAGTATTTAGACTCTGTCACCATAGATTTAAGTTGTTTTTTTAAAAAATATTCATTTATTTATTTATTTGGCTGCACCAGGTCTTAGTTGTGGCATGTGGAATCTTTTAGTTATGGCATGTGAACTCTTAGTTGCAGCATATGGGGTCTAGTCCGCTGACCAGGTGTTAAACCCAGGCCTCCTGCATTGCAAGCTTGGATTCTTAGCTATGGACCACCAAGGAAGTCCCATAGATTAGTTTTGAAGGTTTATAAATGGAACCCCACAGTATACAATATGGCCCTGCCTGTCTTCTTTTGACAATCATTATGGCTGTGGAATTTATCCATGTGATTGCATTTATTTGGAGTTAGTTTCTCACTGTGCAATAGCTCAATGAATTAATAGATTACACATACTTGTGTTCCTGTTGATGGACATTTGACTTTTCGGAATATTATGGAGAATGCTTCTATGACTATTCTTAACCAAATTCTGTTGGGAGTATATTTATGAGTGGACTGGCTGGATCATGGTGTAGTTATATGATTAGCTTTAATAGAAACTACCAGTCAGTTTCAGAGTAACTGCACCATGACACATTCCCATCAGCTATATATAAAATCCCTCATTGCTTCACATCCTTGTGAGCAGATTGTATCTGCCCTTTACTCTTTGAGGCCCAGTAATTGTATTTCTCAGCATTGCAGTACTAAAAAAAGTGTTCTCACAGGTTATTGCTGACATTCTGATTAACCAGTGTAACAACTATAATAATGATAGATAGTGGTCTACAATTTACAGAACATTTGCCATGCACTTTGCTGTACTTTTTCTCATGTCACCTTGTTATGAACTGAATGCCTGTGTCCTCCCCAAATCTGTATGTTGAATCCCTAATGCCCCAGTGTGATGATTCTGGCCCTTTGGGTGATGCTTGGGTTTAGATGAGGTCATGAGAATGGAGCACCCATGATGGGATTAGTGTTCTTATACGAAGATAGGGACCATGGCCTTTCCTAAGTGTGGTGTGTGATGGTGGGGAAGAGAGGGAGAAGTCTCTGGTGTCTCTTATTATAAGGATCTGATTCTCTCAGGTCCCTACTTTTATGACCTCACTTAACCTTAATTACTTCTGTAAAGGCCAGGCCCTGCCTCCAAATACATTGGCAGTCAGTGCTTCAATACATGAATTTGGGGAACACATTTAGTCCATCACAGAATTTGTCTTTTGAATAAATGAAGGGCTATTCAGATACTCTGTTTTTTCTTGTGTCAGTTTTGGTAATTTGAGTCTTTTAAGGAATTCATCTACTTCATCTAATTATTCTGTCCATTACTTTTAAAGATTGTTTCATCTCAAAATGGTACATTTTATGTTATGTTATTTTATCACAATTAAAAATTTTGCTAAAAAATAAGTTTAAGATACATACATATCATTTTTATAATGCCATGAAAAACTGACATTCTCAAAAAAAATTGTTTCATTGTACTCCTGTGTATATTTTGCTCTTTTATTTGAACATTATAAAAAGTATCTGCTTATGTTGTCTTATAGGATTTGTACTTTTCATTCAACAGTACATTACTGAGATTCGTGATGCATGTAACTATAGTTCCGTTTCCCTGATGGCTCAGCAGTAAAGAACCTACCTGCCAATGCAGGAGACATGGGTTTGGAAAATCCCTTGCCTGGGTAAAGAAGACCCAGAAGAAGGAGACAGCAACCCACTCCAGTATTCTTAGCTGGGAAATCCCATGGACAGAGGAGCCGGGCAGGCTATGGTCCATGGGGTTGGCAAAGAGGCAAGACACAACTTAGCAACTGAGCATGCACACAGCTATAGTTCACTCATTTTTTTTTCTCTCATAGTCGTTTATATAAAACCATGTATTCATCCATTTCATGGAAATTTTCTTGTTTCTAATTTTTTGTACCCATACACAGTGGAGCCATGAAAATTCATGTGTGTATTCTCACAAACAAGTGTAGGAATTTCTCTTAGAATATGCCTAGGACTGGAATTTGGGAATTATAAATTAAGCAAAAGGAGAACTTTACTACATGATGCCCTGTTGTGTTCTAACATGGTTATTTATATTCAGTTACACGTCACTTGCCCTGTATGAACAATTCCATGGATCTAGCCTCTCTCCAACACTTGAGAAGTGTTTTCAATCAAGTGAATATAAAATAGTCTCTCATTGTGATCTTAATTTGCCCTTCCCTCATATTTAAGAAATTTGAGTACCTCTTCATATGTTGATTAGTCAATACATATCTTCTGTGAAATGTCAGTTCATAGCATAGTTCAGTTTTCATTTTGGCTGTGAAGTGTTGAAGTCTCCAGCTGTAATTATAATTTTGGGTATTTCTCCTCTCAGCTCAGTTTTTGGTTTGTATGTTTTGAGGCTCTGATATTTGGTACATACAGATGTAGGGTTATTATGTCTTCCTGGTGGCTTGATCTTTTTATCATCACCAGATCTTTTTATCTGGTGTTAATATAGGTCTGATGTTAACATAGCCATTTTTCTTGGATTGCCTTTTAAAACATTAGTCATGTTGATTAGTCTTTTATAGTGAATGCTTCTGTATCTTGTTTTTGAATTCTTTTTCCCAAGATCTAAAAGATAGTCATTTTCACTATTTATTAAAAGTTTTTAATCTTTCAGTTCAATTCAGTTCAGTTGCTCAGTTGTGTCTGACTCTGCGACCCCATGAGTGCTTCTGACAATAAGCCTTAGTCAATCTGGAATTAATTTTTTGCTTTCTGCAAGGTAGAAATACAACTTCATTTTCCTTCATTGTGGCAAATGATTTTTCTACATCCATTTATTAAATAGTCTTTTCCTATTCCCACTGGCCTCTCTGCTACTTCTGTCATATATCAAAATTGTGTGAATCCTCATGTGTTGAGCAAATTCCATACACACATTTCAGAGCACCTAACTCTGTTTTTACCTGACACTTTGACAGCTTATATTATATCTAGGCTGCATCACACAACTTTGTTATATATGATTTCATCATCATCCTAATTCCTCAAAGAACAAGTCCTTTTGCTTTATTCTTCTTCAGAGATATCCTGGTCTCTGTTCTTTTATATAAATTCCACAATCAGCTTGCCTGTAACCATGAAAAACTCTATTGGGATTTATCCCAAGTTGTTAAATTTATAATGAATTTGAGGGAAATTGGCAACTTTATATTATTAATCTCTGTTTTCAAATAAATCTTTATTTGTGTGATATGTTTTCTAGTTATCTAAATGTTATCTACTTCAGTCTGTTCACCTAGTCTTTACTCATATAGTAGACTGAATATGTCCACCCAGTTTCTTATCTCTGACTCCCCACAACTTTTGCACAGTCCAGAATCCTAAGATTTTGTTTCTCCTCTGTCTCTGCCTCCCTCTCCACCATCCTGCCATTCTTTTCTTTTTGCCTGGCATTCAGCATTCTCTTAAGACCCTGATCCTTTGAACTTTCAGTTGTCTAATACAGTTTTTCTCCTAATTCCTCTGTCAGGGAATTCCTACTCACCTTTAGAAATAAGCTTATGTAGCAACTTGTCCTTGTAGCCTCCACTGACCTCTTTCTATCTTCCATGTGGGCCAAGTTAGGTTCACCTTCTCTGTGCTGTCATAGCAGCATGAGATATTGGAACACAGTCATTATCATTACTCTGCCCCACCCTACCCCACTCTGGAGAGTTGAGGTGGAGTCTCCACTACAGATTTTCTGTTCCCTGCTGCAACTTTTCTCCTTGGGTTACCTTTTAAAGATGTCAAGAGCCCAAGGATTAGTAAAGAAAGAAATTTTAAAGCAGGGTTTAAGAGATGTAAAAATGCCATAGATGGTAGAGGCTTTATTTTCATCTTTATTCTTCCACTAAAATGGTCATTTATTTTGTTCTGTGTTGACATCACTAATAGGCACTTTTGTTATATTGGATTTCCTTCAGGTGAAAAAGCAAACCCCAAGACCACAGAGCTTACTGCTTCTCAGCTGGCCCTCACTGAGGAATCCTTTTTTGAGGAACAAGTGACACATGGCACTTCAAGGGATTCCTGGCTGGGGCAAGCACAGTATCAGGAAAAACTGTCCGAAATGCAGGAAGGGAACTGGAGGCCAAGAGCAGATCCCCACAAGGAGACATGCCTGAGGAAGTTGAGCCATAAACCCGATGACTTTGAGACAGATGATAGTCTTTGTTTAGGGGTTTTACCGGAGCAAGTCACTATACAAGATGCTCTGCATGAATCTGATTCCCAACAACCAGGAAAAGACCTGGTTGTTGATTTAAGGAATAACCTCTATAAGTGCAAGGAATGTGGAAAAGATTTTAGCAAGAATTGGGCCCTTATTCGGCATCAACAGATTCACTCTGGAGTGAAGCCTTATGAATGCAGTGAATGTGGGAAAGCCTCTCGTTATATGGCAGACTTCATTCGACATATGAGGTTTCATACTGGGGAAAAGCCGTACAAGTGTATTGAGTGTGGGAAAGCCTTCAAACGCAGGTCTCACCTCACAGAGCACCAGCGTATTCACACAGGAGATAAACCCTATGAATGCAAAGAATGTGGTAAAGCTTTCACCCATCGCTCCTCTTTCATCCAGCATAATATGACTCACACTAGAGAAAAGCCCTTTTTGTGCAAGGAATGTGGGAAAGCCTTTTACTACAGCTCCTCCTTCACTCAACACATGAGGATTCACACTGGAAAGAAACTCTATGAGTGCAGCAAATGTGGAAAGGCCTTCACTCACCGCTCCACTTTTATCCAGCATAATATGACCCACACAGGAGAAAAACCCTTTTTGTGTAAAGAATGTGGAAAAGCTTTCTGTCTCAACTCATCCTTTACTCAACACATGAGGATTCACACTGGAGAGAAACCCTATGAGTGCAGTGAGTGTGGAAAAGCCTTTACTCATCGATCTACTTTCATCCGGCATAAGAGGGCACATACTGGAGAGAAGCCCTTTGAGTGCAAAGAATGTGGAAAAGCATTTTGTGACAGTTCTTCCTTAATTCAGCACGTGAGGATTCACACTGGTGAGAGACCCTATGAATGCAGTGAATGTGGAAAGGCCTTTACACACCATTCTGTTTTTATTAGACACAATAGGACCCATAGTGGGAAAAAACCTTTGGAGTGTAAAGAATGTGCAAAAGCCTTTTACTATAGCTCTTCCTTTACTCGACACATGAGGATTCACACTGGGGAAAAGCCTTATGTATGCAAAGAATGTGGAAAGGCCTTTACCCAACCTGCAAATTTTGTTCGGCATAATAGGATCCACACTGGAGAAAAGCCCTATGAGTGCAAAGAATGTGAGAAGGCCTTTTGTGACAGCTTTGCCTTAACTCAACATGTGAGAACTCACACTGGAGAGAAACCCTTTGAATGTGGTGAATGTGGGAAGGCCTTCAGCCACAGTTCATCCTTCACTCACCATCAAAAGATTCACACCAGAGTTTAGAAGATGGAGGAAGGCCTTGTGCAAGTTTGCTCACTTCAGGCAAATTTTAGTGAACTCATACTGGTGAAGTACCTTTCGTTTTTGAACATAACTATTCAGGGAAGTCTTTTGGCCAGAGAGATATCTTACTCAGTGTCAGAAGAGAAACATCATAATTGTCATCTCTGTGAAAGCTTTCTATGGCAGGTCATCTAAAGGGTAATACTAGAAATTGACACTGGCTACAGCTTTACACTACATCTGAGAATCCACAAGGGAGACTCAGTGGTTGTCATGCATTTGGGGAAAATGTCAGCAACAGTCCTTCCTACGTTTATTACAAGTCCATCTCAAGAGCATTTAAAGAGATGTAGAAGAGAAAGGAAAGAGAAATGCATATGTGTCTTTTTTCTGATCTCCCTGCCAAGCTTATGACAATTTGTCATTTGTGTGGGGGCAGGGGAGGGGCTGAAAGGGGAGAGATCTAAGGCCTCATCCCCTTTATGTATTTTTTTATATCCATAGTCAGGAGAATTGGACCATTGGGATATAAGCTCTACTAACATTTACTGAAAGTTATTTGTTACAAAATATTGACATATAACATGTCAGTGTCATGTCTACCATTGAGCATAAGACCTGAGTCATGAAATACATATACATACATCATATGCAGTCAGTTCTTGTTATTCATGGTAGTTATAGTCTATAAGTTCACCATAAACACTGAATTAGTGAATACTGAACCATTGCTTCTAGTGGCAATACAGATTTAGGTACCTGTGAGCATCTGTTCACATTTTCATCAATCAATCAATATGTAATCTTCTATGGAATTTTTTTTTGTTTGTTTTAGGACACCTTATTTAATAAATGTTTCTGAGAAGTTACATCCATTATTTCATTGTATTAAAAATACTTTAGTGACATCATTTTTGTATATTCTGTTGTTACTGTACTGCTTTTACTCTTTTCACTACAACATACACAAACAATACATATATGCAGTACTCTTATACAGCAAACACATAAACACTGTATAGTACACTATGTTGTACAGTAGATCATGCAAAGAAAGCCCTAGAAAAAAAAAGATTAAACTTAATTAAATATTAACATTAATTAAAACTCTAATTTTGATAGAACTGCAGGATGTGTGATGGGACATGCACTGAGGGTAAATCTCTTGACCTTGGCTTGACCCAGGAAAACTAAAGGGGAGGATGATGCTTTGTTTTGCATTTCTTCCAGGTCTTAGTTGGTGGTTTCTGCTTCCCTCTCTGCCATAGTTTCTTCTACATCTTCCATCATATCATTTGAAGTCTTTTTTACTTATATGCTTTGTGATATGCATTATGTGTTTGACACTGTCCTTTATATTTTCTGTAACACCTTTAAGTCTGAAAATTTTCAGGCAGTCTAGCCAAGCATTTTCCCAACAGTTAATGATAGTAGTCTGCTTATTAATTATCCCAGGTTGTGCCGACACAGTGACAGTGAATATACTGACAGACACCCAGTAGTCCATCCTGGTATATGGTTTCTTTGTTGGTATTGAGAGTTTTGCTAAAAAGCTCCCTTATGTTTTGCTTTTATTATGCCCTGATTGAGTGGTTGGATAACATAGAGTTTAGGGGCATGAAAAGAACATCTAGGTTGGAGTGGGCATTTTCAACTTCTTCATGGCAATGGATTGGGGCATTATCCAAAATTAAACTTTGGAGGCAAGGTTTTTGCACTGGAAATAGCATTCAGTTTCTTGGATGAGCAGTTGTGAAACAAGTCCCAGTATGTTTCTGGTATCACTCAAAGTTTTTTATTCCACCTACAATGGACTGTCAATATGGTTCAGATTTTTCTTTTCAAGTCTGGACATGGGGCCCTTTACAATACTAGGGGTTTGTACTTAAAGTTGCCCTTGGCATTCACACAATAGCACAGTTGTATGTGATATTTGAATAATTCAAAGTCAGGCTTTGAAAGCCATTTGCATTATATAGGTTCATTTGCCAACAGCCTTATAAGCAAGCCCGTCTCATTAGCATTTAAATCTGTTCTTCTATATAGCATTTATTATTTGTTGACATTTTAGTGATAGGCACTGTGACAGGTGTTAGGTGTTACTACATTGTATTTTTTATTTGCATTTCTCTAATAATTAGCAGTGAAGTGAAGTGAAAGTCGCTCAGTCGTGTCTGATTCTTTGCTACCCCATGGACTATACAGTCCATGGAATTCTCTAGGCCAGAATACTGGAGTGGGTAGCCTTTCCCTTTTCCAGGGGATCTTCCCAACCCAGGGATCAAACCCAGGTCTCCAGCATTGCAGATAGATTCTTTACCAGCTGAACCACAAGGGAAGCCCAATAATTAGCAGTGATAAGCATCTTTTTGTGTTTTGTGCCTGTT